AGAGAGAGAGAGAGAGAGAGAGAAAGAGAGAGAGAGAGGAGGCTTGTGGGTATGCCTTTTGGAGCCATGCCTTTTTACAACTGAAGTCATGTCTGTTCATGATTTTATCATCAAATTTCATAATTTATTCTACAAACGTGTACTGTCTTATTCGCCATACCTGTGATTACCTTCCATACAAGCGGGACTACGACTCAGTTTAATAAATAAAATGACCCGTCTCCTCCACCCCCCCCCCCCCTCCTTCCAACCCTCCCACCACTCTCAAAAAAGGAGAGGGAAATATGTGAGGCAGCGTGGTGGAATCAGGTTCTCGTCACTTTTTGGGCATGTAGAGTTATTGGTATCATCTTAAAGCTTGTTCATTTATCTTGCTTTCAATGAAAAAATTACCCATCCATCTTCAATAGAAGTGGAGAGATTTTGGATTGAATGAGGTGGGAGTCACCTGATTTAAGAGTAAAATTAGCGAGAAAATTGCCACCAAAGCTTGGTAAATTCCAAAGCAGGAGAGTCCAATGAAACTGTACATTTATATTTTTGTGCCTTTAATCAACGTTTTCGGTGAAATCCTCAAAGGAATGTGTTTGTAAATGGACATTAAAAGTGATGAGCCAAAAACAAAAAATTTGATACAAATTGCCAAACAGGGAGAAAACTGCAGTTTTATTTGATTTCATTATTTTGATGAGAGCCTGATTCCACCACGCTGCCTCACATATAGATTTTTACCACAGCTTTTAATATAATAAGTATTATGATAATCTTACGCCAAGTCTACATTATCCAATACTATCTTTTGTAGGTTATCTCTAAAACGTTTAATAACTGAGACATTTGTAAGAAGTAAATGGTACAATATATTGATAAAACTGTCGTAAAGCGAATGGACCTTTTCATCAACAGAAATAGATTTGCAAAAAGTCTTCCATTTGATCGCCTGTGTGTAGTTTGGGCTCACGTTTTCCATTTTGTAAAGCGAATTATTGGTAAACGTTTCCTTCTGCTCTGCTCGAGCTTACTTGATCCATCATGTGGGTTGTTGGCG